GAAACTTTTTGGGTTCTTATAATTTAGTAGCAATCTGAAAGTTTAACCTTTTATTTCCATGGCTTATTAGGCAAGTAAGTTTAAGGTTCAAGATTTGGGGCTTGGTGTTGCGGGGTTTGCGCTTCGGGGCTTAGGGGCAGTTGAAGCAGTAGGTTCTGTTCCAGCAGCTAAAGTGGGAACTGTCCCTAAACCCTAAACCCTAAAGCCCCACTCAAAGATTGCAAAAGGGAGATGACCTGAAAGGCCCTCCAAAAAACCCTAAACCCTAAGCCCTAAACCCTTAAACCTCAAACCCTAAACCCTGAACCCCTAAACCCCTAAACCCCTAAACCCTAAACCCTAAACCCTAAACCGTTACCTCAAACCCTGAACCCTAAACCCTGAACCCTAAACCCTAAGCCTAAAACACCCGTTAGGGCTAAGGTCCTTGAGTTTGGGGTGTTCCGCCGCGAAGCTGAGGAGTCTCCAAAGCAGGATGAGAGAAGCGGTGAGGTTGACGCCGGGGTCTCAGAAGGTTTAGGCTTTCTAGGGTTTAGGGTTCAGGGGTTTAGGGGGTTTAGGCTTTCGGGTTTGGGGGTTTAGGGTTAGGTTTAGGCTTTCGGGTTTTGGGATCACAGGGTTTTAGGGGTTCCTGGATCCTTGTTGGATGCAACTTCACATTTTGTTTATAAGAAAGCCCAATAAGGATTACACATGATCATTTTAAATATAGCCCAAACAGGGAACCAGTTACGGGGTTTAGAGCTTCGGGGTTCAGGGCTTGTGGCTTCAGAGTCTAAGGCCTAGGGCTTGCGGTGTTGTATGTCATGGTGAGGCTTTCTTGGTTTCAGGTTTTTCTTAGTTTAGAGGTCCTCAAACCATGATTTTGAGTAGTTGCGATTCTCTTGATGTCTTAAAATGGAGGTACTTGGGTAGTTCTCTAGATGAGGGTCCCTTTTCTGGGTCCTCAGACTAGTACGGCGCCGTTATAACAAGGCCCCTAAAAGGGACCCTCATTTAGAAGACTACCCACTCAGTAGCTGAGTAGGTGACATTGAAGCTGTTGCGGTTTCTACAACCCTACCATAATGGCACCCTAAACCCCTAAACCCTAAACCCTAAACCCCTAAACCCTAAGCCCCAAAACCCCAAAACCCTAAACCCAAGTTCACCCTTTGTGTAGGGGTTTAGGGGTTACGGGTTTATGAACCCTAAACCCTTGACCCTTAACCCTAAACCCTAAAACCCTAAACCCTTAACCCCTAAACTCTTAAACCCTAAACCTTAAACCCTTAACCCTTAACCCTTAACCCTTAACCCTTAACCCTAACCCTAAACCCTAAGCCTTAAACCCTAAACCCCACACTACCAACGGCGGCGCGAGCATAAGCCTGGTGGAACAGAGCCATAGCAGAGGAGGAGTCGGAGATTTGGGTTTCGGGCTGCTTGCTGCATTGCTCAACAATCAATTCTGTCGAGGAGCCCTCAATGATTCCCACCGAGATCCCCAGCCAGACCGAGGTCCCGACCGAGGGCTGCTTGCTGCATTGTTCAACAATCAATTCTGTCGAGGAGCCCTCAATGATTCCCGAGATCCCCAGCGAGACCGAGGTCCCGTCGCGTTGCGGGGGTGCTTTAGGATTCGGGTGTGCCCAAGCCTTTTTTCGTCTCAGGCGGCGGACTCCTCGTCGGGAAGCGTTACTGGAGAAGCAGAGCATGGTTGTTTGGACGAGGGTACTATAGGGGCTTAAATAATTACCTATAGCATGTTGTGGCTCCTTGTTATAATTATGGTAAAATGGGCCCCAAAACCCTATTCTAATTTTTAAGGTCCTACCGGATGAGGTACGTGGATCTGGGATAGTACTCTCTTGGGGAGCATCTTTCATGTGCTACGGCTGATGACATAGATCCCGGTTTTAGGGGTTTAGGGTTTTAGGCTTCGGGGTTTTAGGATCTAGGGTTTGGGATTTAGGGTTTAGGGTATAGGTTACCCATTATAAGGAAAATACCACAATTTCCCATAGTTTAGGGTCCTGAAGGTAATGCAGGATGTATACCCTAAACCCTAAACCCTATCATCAACACTAAGTCTTTGGACTCCTGGACTCGGCCTATGCTCCTTCGGAGGAGGGTCCGCGGGTTACAAAGAGCCTTAAACCCTACCTGCCAGAACCGCCCAAGACCCCTTCAGTATGGAATATACTAGTAACTTCAAGTAGGATCCCTAGGGATGGTTTTAAGTATTATCCCTCAACTAAGGGCTCTTGGAAGAGTTGGGTGGAAGAGTTGACCTCAAAGCCAACTCTGAAACTGATAGTTTTTTGTAGAGGGTTGCTTCCAAGAGTCGGTCCTGTAAGGGTTTCAAGGCTTCACGGGCTCAGGGCGTTAATGTAAGGCTTCTATGAAAAGGGCCTCTATACCAGGTTCCGAAGTAAGTAAGGTTGATGATATAACTCCTGCACTACCTGAACGATGCTAACCTATGCGAATTATAGTATATTCCTTATTATGGGTGATGCAGGATTTATGGCATGAACAGAAGTACTCTGTGTCCTTGCTATCGGAGATCTTTTTTCCGCTTGGACAACAGGACGAAACGAATCTCTGGCTTTGAGGAGACGCTTGGGAATTAGAGAGGCTTTAGGGTTTAGGTTTAGGGTTTAGGGTTCAGGGTTCAAGGTTTAGGGTTTAGCGTTTGGGATTATGAGTAATCAGGCTGAGAAAAGCGAGCATTAGAGAACCCATGCAAGCAGTAGGATCAGAGGATCCGCATGATCAGCGAAGCAAGAAGAAGGGATGCCTACCTGCATTGAAACAGCACCAAGCCCTAAACCTCAAAACCCGAACTCCAAGCCCTTAACCCTAAACTTGGTGCAGAAAGAAACTTAAGCTTGAAGTCCAAAAACCAAAATCCTGAACAGGATAATCTAAAGCCCGAAAAACCCTAAGCCCTAACCCCTAAACCCTAAACCTTGAACCCTGAACCCTAAACCCTAAATCCTAAACTCGAAACCCTAAACCCTAAACCTTGAACCCTAAATCCTAAACCCTAAATCCTAAACCCTAAATTCTAAGTCCTAAACCACAGCCAAAACCAACCCTGAACCCTAAATCCCAAACCCTAAACCCTAAACCCTAAATCCTAAACCAAAACCAACCCTGAACCCTAAATCCCAAACCCAGAAAATCTAAAGCCCAAAAACCCTAACACCCAAACCCCTAAACCCTAATAACCCTAAGCCCTAACCCCTAAACCCTAAATCCCGAACCCAGAGGTCGCACCCCCTCCAGACTACTTGACGGAAACGCTCGCGAAAGCCGAAGCGGGCCTGTGGCAAGAGGAGATTTCCAGCCCCGGGGAGGGGGGGACTGATTTAGGGCTAAACTAGGGTTTAGGTTTTGGGTTTTGGGTTTGGTTTTGGGTTTTGGGGTTAAGGGTTTTGGGTTTAGGAGTTTAGGGGTTTGGGGGTTTAGAGTTTAGGGTTTAGGGGTATAGGGTTCAGGGTTTCGGGGTTTAGGGTTTAGGGGTTTGGGGTTCCGGGTGCAGGGGTTGGATTTTGCAATTATGCTTCTTTCCTTGGTGGCATAGCTCCGGATATGTCTTTCTGCTGTAGGCTCACCCCGGACCCTGCAAAATCCCTTAATGAGGGAATATATCAATCATATTAGGGACCCTACTACAACTTCAGGTATATTCCCTAATTAAGGGATTTGGGAGGGTCTGGGATGTTCCTACCGACCTGTCGGCTAGGGGTTCTTACTTGGAGGTTCATGGGTAGTTAGGAGTGGAGTTATAAGTCCCCGAATATACGCTATGACGATAGTAACTCTATTTATCCTAAACCCTAAATCCTAAACCCTAAACCCTAAACCCTAAACCCTAAACCCTACTTACAACTACCCACGAACCTCCCAGTAGATGGTATCGACACCACCGTTGCCGAATTGATCTCCTCGAGTTTTGACCCCAGAGACCCTGAATCCTCAACAGCTCCAGGGCTCCAATTGATAGAGGGGCCTTACCCTAAGGCTCTTTTTGCTGTTATGGGCTTTCTAGGGGAAGGTTTGGGCTTTGGGGGCTAAGGTCTGGGCGTTCACTATGGGGGTCCATGGGCCTTAGGGTAATACTTAGAATAGGGTTTTGGGGGGCCCAGTATACTATAACTATAATAAGGAACCCCCAAAATGGTACAGTATTGGTAATTATTTTAGGCACCGGCATTATCTAAATCATGGGTGACCGGGTTATCCGTTTTATGGCTAATAACCTACATTAACCGACTATTTAGTAATCTAAATAAGGGGGTGTTGGGTTCTTTAGTCTATGCATGGTTTTTGAACCTGCTAACTAAGCAACTGGAGCCCTACTTATAGTCTCCATTGTAGTTCCTTTTTGGGGATGCCTCATAAAACCCTTCATATATATAGTTGGTTAAACCAAAAAAAGGAGCCACAAGGCCGACTACAGGTAGGGCATTTCAACCCCTGAGATTGGACCCAGGTGCCGCAGTGTGGAAACCCATGGCGCGTTCCTTCGAGTCGCAGGGAGTCTCCACAGTGTTAGCTGTAAGCGGATTTTGTGCAAGAGGTGTTCGGAAGTTCGGAAGTACCTGTAGTGTCCATTGTAATTAGTTCCTTTTCGGGGTTACCTTGTAGGATCCTAACTCTAAAGCTGTCTAAAGCAAAAAGAGGGAACTACGATGGAGACTATAGGTAATAAGCAAGCTTCGCAAGGAAGGGAAGGATTTCAAGATTTCCGTGATCGGCTAGGGGCTCTGCACAACTTGGTCGTGTAGCGTCGTGTATTTGAGCATTATCGGTACTCGGGTTCGACATATGCCAGGTCGCTACTATATACTGTCAGCAGGATGGATTTTGAGGCAAGGGGTTCATTGTTGTCAACATGTTTTCTTTGCGGACTTGAAAATGCAAATACTATTTTTACTTGTCTGAGCAATAACAGCTCTTGCATGACCCAGGACAAGAGACGCGAGATGTTGGAGCAGTATAGAGCGGAGATGGGAGAAAGATTCACCAAAGATGCCAGGAGACGCCTTTTCGACAAGTGGTATCCTGGCCAGTCCCACAGGTACAAGCACCTGTTTCACTCATGGCTTCGATCCATGGAAATGGAAGCTGAGTACAAGAAAGATGGCAACGTCTTCTATCATCCGGAGCTACTTATAGGATCAGGTTCGCATGCGAAGGTTTACCTTGGCATCGTCCCAGCTGATGGCCGGGAAGTGGCTATCAAAGTCTTCAGGGACAGAGCAGGATCGGACCATTTCACCAAGGAGGTCAGAGCCATGAAACAGAACACTGCCATTTTCGGCATCATGCAGTACATCACGTCCTTCGAGCAGACAAAGTGCTGGTTTGAGGAGAGCAGGTCCACGAAGCGACGCCGAGAGGAGCGAGTCCAGGTGGTGATTCTGGAGCTGATGGAAGGGACACTGCAGGAGGCCGGAAAGAGGTCATGAGTCATAAATCGTTTAATGCTACTCAACACTAAAACTACTACAGCGATGTACCCGCTGTAAGTTGAACGTGTATTTTGAAACTAAAGAGAAAGAAACAATATATGCAACGCAGATAAAGGAATGGATCCACGTTACACATTAGAAATTATACAAGACACAATTATGTGTATACATATATACATATACACACACACCCCGATTTATGTGTTTGGCTGTTTATGTTTCATGTCCTTCCTTCCAAAGCCCCGGAGGCAATGTCTACCTGGGGAGATCTGGATGCCAAGCAGCACTTGGATGTGGTGTGCTCCGTGTCGCGCAGCCTCCTGGACATCCTAGGCCGCTTAAACCCGGTGGGTGATCAAGGGTATGTGCATCGTGATATCAAGCCGGACAACATCATGATCGACTGCAGGGGCAATATACGGCTGTGCGATTTCGGAATTGCTCGCGCTCTGCGCGAGGATGAAGCACAGCTGTTCAGTCCAACATGCGGCAGTTGCCCGCAGTTCACCCCACCGGAAGTACTCCTTTATGCTACTCTTCACAAGACAGGTGATCTGTATTCTGTTGGCCGGGTGATGATTGCCATGATGCTGAAAGATCCGAGTCTCTCCAGCATGCGGGACCGAAGTCTTGAGCTCGAGGAGGTGCCGGCGCAGTGGCCCGGGTACAAGAGGCTGGTCTTGCATGGTAGTCCACTTAGGTCCAAGCCGAAACTATACCAGTTCTGTCACACCCAATGTCCTGTCAAATCTCAGCTCGTTAGCCTGACGCCTTGTGCCGTATTTGCCACGAATTGGGCACACGTTCAGGCACGCCTTCGTTCGACTAGTCGCAGCTCTGACGCACCGAGACAAACAATGTCGCGCGTATTCCGACCAGCTGCAGGATGTATCACAGCTCTACCAGGCCGACAAATGCGAAGACCTTCATCATCGCATGAACACTGCGTGCCAATTTTCCTACACTTGTTTCTTCTTCTGCCGCTCTTACTACTTCTGTTGCTGCTGATGCTTCAACTACCGGTGCTTCTGCTGCTACTACTACTATCAGTAGTACTACGACTACTACTACTACTACTACTACTACTACTACTACTACTACTGCTACTGCTACTACTTTTGATACTACTACTACAACTACTACTACTGCTACTACTACTACTACGACGACGACGACTACGACGAC